AGCTTGAGGCTCTGTCTCAAAAAAAAAAAAAAAAAAAAATCACTAAAACTAAAAGCAGAACCACAATAGAGTAAATCTGTGAAACCAAGACCTAATTCTTCAGGGAGAATAGTAAACTTTGAACTAGATTAGTCATGGAAAAAAGAGAGAAGACACAAATTACTAATTTAAGAAATGACAGAACATTTCTACAGATTAAAAAGATAATAAGGGAATATTATTTGATGACCTAGACACATTTCTTGCCAGAGACAAACTATAAACCTTACTCAAGAAGAAATAGCCTTAAATCTACTGGGCATGGTGGCTCACACCTATAATCCTAGAACTAAATTAAATTTGTAGTTAAAAATCTTTCCACAAAGAAAAGTCCAGGCTCAGACGGCTTCACTAGTGAGTTCTAACAGATGTTTAAAGAATAAATAATAGTGAATTTATAAAACTCTCACAAAAAGATTGAATAAGAGGGAATACTTTCAACTTTTTGTGTGATTAGTATTACCCTGATCCCAAAATTAGGCAAAGACATTGCAATATCCTAATGAATGTAGAAGAACTTGTGAAAGTACAAGGAGTAAATAGGACCAGGCACAGTGATTCATGCCTGTACTCCCAGCACTTTGGAAGGCTGACAGGAGGATTGCTTAAGGCCAAGCGTTCAAGACCAGCCTGGGCAACATAGTGAGATCCTGTATCTTTTTTTTTTTTTTTGGAGACAGAGTCATACTTTATCACTCTTGGTAGAGTGCTGTGGTGTCATAGCTCACTGCAACCTCAAACTCTTAGGCACAAGTGATACTCTTGCCTCAGCCTCCCAAGTAGCGCTGGTACTACAGGCACCTGCCACAATGCTAGGCTATTTTTAGAGATGGGGTCTCATTCTTGCTCAGGCTGGTCTTGAACCCATGAGCTCAGACAAGCCACCCACCTCGGCCTCCCAGAGTTCTAGGATTACAGGTGTGAGCCACCATGCCCAGCCTCTAAAAAAATTTTTTTTAATTAGCTGGGTGCAGTGGCACACACCTATAGTTACAGCCACTCGTGGTGCTGAGGCAGAAGGATTGCTTGCATTGAGAAGTATGAAGTCATTATATTTCTGCCTGGGTGACAGAAAGAGACCCTATCTCAGTAAAAGAAAAGAACAAAGAAAAACATAAACAAAAAATAATGATTTAAGGGGTAGTAAAATTAAATAGGATGTGCGGACCAACAATGGATTGGTTAAATAAGTAATTGTACAATGAATACCTTGGAGCTATTAAGAACGACATGGAGCTATGTGCACTGACATGAATAGATGTCTATGATATATTATCAAGAGAACAAGGCAAGTTGTAGAGTTTTACAGGTGGTAGAATGTCATTTGGATTTTTATATTTGTATGAGGGTATGTGTGTGCCCACTGGACTACTATGAACTGATATAAACTAGTATGGCAGTAAAGTTGTGAAGATGCTGGAACAATTTTGAATAAGTTGTCAATAGCTGCTTCCCTGAGTCTTCCAAGTGTTCCCACCTGCTCCAAATATTCAAGGTCCTCCTAGCAAGCCCTTTGCCTTCCCAGCTACTAAAGGGATAGTATTTGGCATGAGATGCTCTGTAGGGCTCTGTTTCAGAGCTACATTCTTATAGGTGAGAGTCCATGCTTTAAATATTTTTAACACATCTTTCGTTTGTATATTACTATATGTATATAAAATGTTCAAAGAATGTTTACCAAGTACACGTTATATGATTTAGGGATAGGGTATTGGGCAAATGTTGGATGAGAATATGCAGTATGAGCAAAACTATGTAGTTTAACAACATATCTATATTCCATTTGGGGTCAATAAAATTTGAGGTATTACACCTTCCAATTTCAAGACTTGTAGTAAAGAAACAGCATGGAATTGTTCTAAGAACAAACATATGGAGTAATGGAACAGAAGGTATGCGAGAGACTACTGAAAGGAAGCTAATAAATTTATTTTCTTGGTTGTTTCACTTTAAGAAGATAGACTCCACTGTTTTAAAATTCCACTTCCTAGAGGAACCTCTCTTTCTAGAAATCCTACACTCAAAAAATTCAACTCATTGTTCTGGCATGAGAAAGATAGAATTTTCTGTCCTGTTTCTTTAGGTTGGTAGAATATTCTAGGACTAAACTTAAGAGTCTCGTACCTGTTCTGTGCAGAAAGAGCCACATGTGCAGATACATCGTAGGACTGCTTGAGCTCAGGAGTTCCATACCAGCCTGAGCAAGAGTGAGATCCCGTTGGGCAATCGTACTTCACCAGTTTTTAGAGTTAGTGCCCCTAAAACTAAAACTTTGATCCAGTTGAGTGAACGGTGTTCTTCTCTGTTTTAGATGCAGTTGACCTACAGAAAGCAAAGGAACATAACCAGAGACTGGATGAGGAAATTCTGGCTTTAAGAAATCGGGTTCGATCACTTGACTCAGAAAAAAAGGTACTTGGAGAGATGGTAAGTTTAGTGTGTTCTTAGGATTTATTTAAATGTGTGTATGTTAACAATTAGCAGCTTGAGCAACATAGATATTCATCACCTAAATTGGTTACTAGTGAGGCCTGGTGGCTAATATTTCAGGTAGGTGTCATACATTGATGCGTTCTATCAGTACTTATTTTATACATTTTTTTCCACATTGCATATTGTTTTTCACTTATTTTATACATTTTAACTACCTATGCCAAATAGCATAGGTAGCATTGCTATTATGTAAATCTAGAATCTTTCATTTTTAATAAGGATTTAGATAATAGTTTATATTTAACATATTTAACAAATAGAAAATATAACTCTACTGGATAAGTTTAAGATTATTAATACTAAACCCTCAGTTGTATTCTATATTCTATTTTTTTTTTCTGTCTTTTTTGAGACAGAGTCTCACTTTGTCACCCTTAGTAGAGTGCCATGGCCTCATAGATGATAGCAACCTCAAATTCTTGGGCTTAAGAGATCCTCTTGTCTCAGCTTCCCCAGTAACTGGGACTACAGGCACCTGCCACAACGCCTGGCTATTTTTAGAGACAGGGTCTTTCTCTGGCTCAGGCTGGTCTCAAACTCCTGAGCTCAAGCAACCTTGGCCTCCCAGAGTGCTAGGATTATAGGCATGGGACATGACATTTAGCCTCTGTATTGTATTTCTTAACCATTTCTTCTTACTAATTTATCAATTTTTTAAATATATACTTCCAAGTTGTGGATATATTATAGTATGTCTCTTCAATTTTAGTTTATATTCATTAAACAGTCATATCTCTAGTGTCCAACAAAATGCCGGGCATAATACTAGGTGCTCAAGAATTTTTATTTTTGCCATAATGAATAAATACCCTTTAGGATCTCACCTAATGTGCACGTTGTGAGCCCCTGGGTGAGGGGCTCTTCTACAAATGGAACTTTACCCTGGAAGTGAGAACAATGTAAACTTGTAACCTAGTAACCTAAAAATTGGACCCTCATATTAATTTGAAATAATAAAAAGAAATAATCAAAAAAAAAAAGTCATTCTCAGTTAAATAAATAAATATAACCTTCAGGATAGCTGCTATCAAAACAATAGAAAATAACGAATATGCCTCCTGGTTAAAGGACTGAACCACATCTTGGACTTTACCTTACAAACTCAAAGAGTGTAACCTAATCGTGTGTACTGTCAGATTAATTTTTAAAAAGTTGGCTCGGCGCCTGTGGCTCAAGCAGCTAAGGCGCCAGCCACATACACCTAAGGTGGTGGGTTCAAATCCCCAGCCC